GACAAGTTGCTGGGTACTCACTATTACATATTTCCCTCATCAAGCATTGTGAAAAGTCTAATTTCTTGGAAGAACATTTTTATATGGTACTGGGGTAAGTGAATAACCGAATGTGAATGGTTGCAGGTATACACAGGCTTACGAGAACAACCTCACCTTTCTAACCGTAAAGGTCAGCCCACGAAAATGTTCCTCGTTCTACTATAGGCTATACTGAAACTGTATCTAGCTGCTTCTTTTGATTGGATTCAATTGATGATTCTAATACTTCCGTCTGAATGTATCGGTGCAGGGATCTGGACATACAGTTCCGGAGTACAAACCACGGGAGGCGTTAGATTTATTTAGCCGGTTTTTGGCCGGAAAACCACAATAAGAGAAAGAGAGCAGTGTTGTTATGTATTAACTATGCTACAGAAGTTTTAGAGAGAACAAATCATATGATTCAAACAAACAGTTTGCATTACCATTGAATAAACTGCATTTTACATCAACTCTTCTAGTAATTTTCACTAAAAATTATCTTTGAAATGCTAATAAACAAGAATTAAGCTAACAAATCTGCCATGAAATCCAATTCTCACACTGAATGGGAATTATGTTACCCTAACTTAGACTGCACGCAATCTCTTGGAGTCATTAAATTGGACAGTTGTCTTTTGTATTAAGAGAAACAAATTTCCTTCCAAAGTCGGGAAACAAAAGTGCCCTATATATATATTTTTTATATTTAATGTATATTGAAAGGGAAAGACTTGAGTGTAGAGATAAACATATGTCTATTTTTTGATATAATGGATATCGAAAGAGAAAGACTTGTAGTGGAGAGATAAACTTTTAAAGCCATCTTTTAAAAAGAAAACTTTTTAAAAGAGACTTGATGAGACAGATTATGTTGGATTTTATCTCAATTGTCATGACCAGTCCACAAACGAGGTGTTGAATCTTGTGTATTTGATTAATTCGATTTTGAGTGACACTTTTTATTTCGTTGGAGAAGATATTTTATTTTAAAATGGAAAAAAATATCCTAAAATTATGCTTAGATTAACACGAAAGTATATTCATTTACCAAACGTGAAAATTAAGAACAAAACCGTCATCTCAGTAGCAGCATATTAAGTATCATCCATGGTCGCATGAAACATTAACAAGTTTGAGTAGATTAGTAGATGTACAATTATATTTTTGCTACTAATGACACTGATTAAGTTGACTCAAAATCGACAGTTAAAGATCAATAAATCAAAAAATTAAGTATTTTGGGCCGCTGGTCGTAATGTTGGATTGGGCCTATTGAAGGCCCAAATAATAGTGATCTCTTGCTTTGGAAGGTGAAATATATTCGACCAAAAATGGTAAGAATAATAGCCCAATAAACAAATTAGTGATCCAACGGATCTATTTCGCGGGAAGCAACGGGCATCTTTTCCCGCCACCAGAGAGCCCTATTAAATACCCTAAACCCCTAATTGGCGAGTGCTCTCTCTCCCTCCCTCCCTCCATCCCTCTCTCTCTCTATCTCTCGACTGTCACCCTCAAAATCTGTAATTTTTTGATCGACTCCAAATACCATCTCTCTCTCTCTCTCTGCAATGAGTTCCTCAGAAACCCAAAGGACAGCTAAACCCAGTCTCTCTCTAACCTTCAAATCGGAGAAACCCCATTTAAACCCAAAGCTCCGAGTTGCAGAAATCGACTCACTGAGCTCCAAAACCCCTGAGAAGCCCCAACAGTTCCGTCACAAAAGCTTATGGGAGCCGACCCAGAAGCAGCCGGCGGCTCAGATCGGATCTGCGAGACGAAAGATCGATTCTTGGTCCGAGGAAAACCCGATTGAGACACATTTTGGTGCCTCCGAGAAGCTACCGGAAAAGTAAGGCTTCGTGAATTTCAGTTCTTTATTATGTGTACGTAATTATTTTTTTTCTGACATTTTGGGTGGAATTTTGATTCATTATATTATTTTGGGGTTCTTTTTGTTGTTTTTGTTGCAGGTATGAGATATTGAGCGAGTTTTTCGATTGCTTGGATGCTTCGATTCGGTTGTTGCGGTTGAGGGGCTTGATGCCAAGCTTTACCAATCTTCGCCCGAAAATTGAGTGTTTAACGGATAGGTACTGGAAGAGGTTTTCTATTTAATCTGTTGTTTGGTTTGGTAGGTTGCTGAAGAAATAAGGCAGTAAAAAGTGATTGATTTTTGTTTATCTGGGTTTTTAGGAGGTTTACAATTAGTCACTTGGCTCAGCTGAAGATTGTTTTACCTGAGGTAATTGAGATTACAAAAGTGCTTGTTAAGGATGAGAGAACCAGTGATATGAAGCCGGATCTTCGTGTCACCATGAATGTTGATGCAGTAGAAAACGATGACAAGTTGAAATCTGAAGGTGGTGGGCATATGCATTTGAGGCGAGCCTTCCGCCATCGGCTTGGAGACATTTCAAAATCTCATCCTGAGGTATACATCTACTCATTTTCGGTGGAACACAACTAACATGGTGTGATTACTTTATATTCAATGTTATTTAATCTACTAGTAAGATTTGAGGTTAATGGAATCCCTTTTTACATTGGATGTTCTGAGCAATCTGTGAGATTTTCATCTGGAAAGCTTTGAGTCACACAGAATTTATGAGATTATTAGGGTACTGGATTAAAAAATTTGAGCTTATTCCTTGTTACACTCTTTTCGAACAAGCTACTACACAGTTCAAGATTGTGTTTTATCAGTTCAACATTGTTTTTATTGAACTAATTTTCGAATAAGGTGCGGTCTGAAAATGGTTTATTATGTGCTTTCAGGGTTATGAAATTCCAGAAGAAACTCTGCCCCCACCATTCAATTTTGCAGAGCAACATATGCATCCAGATACAATTAAGTGTTCCTTATCATCATCTCCTGAGGCATTGACTGGTGCACATACAGTTGAGCAACCAGAAGCATCCAAAACTTACCTTCAAAGTGATGGCATTCCAGATGAAACACATCCAATGCCATCTGATCAATCAAAGGAGGATTTGAATTCAAACATAAGCAGAATTCCTGACTCGTCATTGCCCAATGAGACATCATTTGAAGCACCAGTAGAGCAGCTACCAGTAATAACAACTCATCTTCCTCAATCTTTTCGAAGGCACTTTTCTTTACCAGCCTTCCAAGGCCGAAATGTTTTAGTTCCAGAGTCAAATTTTAATATAGTTTGCTCCATTGAGGAAGCTAGTGTTGTTGCTTCGTCATTTGAAGCACTAGTGGAGCAGCAACCAGTAATAACATCTCATCTTCCTCAACCTTTTCGAAGGCACTTTTCTCAGCCATCCTTTCAAGCTCGAAATATTTCACTTCCAGAGTCAATTCTCAATGTGGTTTGCTCTGTTGAGGGAGCTAGTACTGCTGTATCATTGACTGGCCAAGTGCCTGCAACTCCAACCAAAGAGACAAGCCCCATTGAAAGTGGTGATGATTTACCCACAAAATGTGCTAGCATTCTGTCTACTCCAAAACTTGCTTCAACTCCAGTCAAAGAGATAGGCCCCATAGAAAATGATGATTTCCCCATAGAAGGTGCTAGTATTCAGTCCACTCCAGCAAAGCTTGCTTCAACTCCTGCTAGATTGATGTCTGCCACACCAGCATTGCGCCCGCCAAAACGCTGTTATATGAGCCCAGAAGACAATTCTACTAGCTCTCCAGAAAAGATGGTTAGGTATCCTCCACGCTCCAGGTCACTGAAATTTGACACTCCTGTGAAGAATAGAATGGTCGAGGATGAAGTACTTGATATGGACAATGCATCAATTGATAATGACTTTACTGATATTCCTCCGGAGGATCTTTTGAAATTGGTATGTCATGTCTTCTATGTCAATAGTTCTATAAAAGTTGTTGGAGCTTACTTCAACCATCTGCACAAAATTTCATTTACTTGTGACAACATTTTGTCTACTTATTTACGAAAGCTTTCTGAAACTGACTTCAGCTTAAGTGGTGTACCATAATATTACTAACAGCATCCAGCCCACTTCGTGGTTTCTACTTGAACTTGAATATAATGAACAACATTTTTGAGAAGTATCCATTTATCTTTCAACAGCTCAAAGATGAAGAGAGGACGGCAATAGAGGAGCAAATTCCTGCCTTCTCACAAGCAAAGAGGGATAAACAGATGATTTCCGGCCTACCTAAACTCTTTGACATGATCCATTTCCTATTTCAGTCTATGAAACGTTCTGCCATCACAAAAGAGGAGCTTGTACACAAGCTAATTTGGAATAACTTAGATTTTACGGACACAAGTAAGCCATTGTATAAAGTAGATGATTTCCTATTACGATTCACGAAAGCTCCTGGTGAACCTAACTCCTCTATTTTCTTCACAGATGAAGTTGAAGAGCAGCTAAGCTTGCTGCTAGATCTGGTTCCGGAATGGATATCTGAAGAAAAGTTAGACTCCGGAGGAGATTTGCTTTTGATCCAGTGAGTTTTATCTAGTCCCAAACAGAAATTATGCGTTATGTAAATGAATACTGCCTTGGGTTAAACGAAAAACTTGATCAAATTGTTTGATGTACATTTGATCTCTGTTCTTGCAGCATTAACAAAATGTCAAATCCAGGTTCTATACGGGCGCAGCTCGAAGCAGCAAACTAGCAAAGCAATCTGAACTGTGCCAGGGTTTCTGAAGGTTGCTGTAAAATAAAGACGATGTACGATTTCCCGTCTTATTAGGCATCTTGGAATGTTTTAATTAATTAGTTGTTCATGTCTGCGTGGCTAATCTGTAGTTAGTATATAGCCCATCTCCAGTTTCTGGGGTTTCTTTCTTCCAGCAGCATAGAAAATGCTTTGATTGCAAGCTGATTGACTGTGCAACTAGTTTTTCGGTACAAAAAATCTTTTCTCAAGGTCCACTACGGATAAGTAATTTTTCGGTACAAGAAATCTCCATTTGCACCTATGTTTCAAATCATAGGCACATTAGAAATTAACAAGATTTGAGTTGAAAGTAAAATATAATTTTTTTTATCAAATAGAATATATCCCGCCTACTTATGAGATTTAACCGGATCCCTACTACAAGAACATCATACTTAAACCCAACATTAATCAATATCCCCTTCCTATTCCCATGCACCTGCTGACCTTTCACGGATCTCTCAGTGCAGTGAATCCCCGATACACCGAAACGAAAAACATGCTCTTAAAAACGATACAAAATATAATGGCTCTTCGAAAGTAGCTAAAGACCTGTATGGCTCTACCAAAATCCACAGAAACTGAATCTTTACCTAGAAAGAATTAGAAATGTAAGATAGATGCTCGGAACCATCTTCTCAAGCACCTTGCTAATCTTAGGCAATATTAGAAAACTGCGGCAAATTAAGCAGTACTCTTCTTGTTTCTAAAGCTTTCCTTCATCAACGCAAACTTCTTCTTGCATTGAACCACAGACTTCCCCGGAACAGCAGCAGCAACTCGCTCCCATCGCTGAGTGGCATCCTTTGGAAAGGTTTTCAGAGCCTGAACCAGGGCTCTTTCGTGTACAGCAGACCATACATCTTGCTCGGACCCTGATGAGAATCCATTTTCAACAATCGGATCTATAGGAGTTTGGTCTTTTGCACTTCCACTTGACGACTCTCCCGATTCATCCGTCTTCACGGCAGGTGTTTCTGTGGGCTGAGGAGTCCGTACCCCTTCTACTTCGACCCTAGTTGTAAGTGGAGAAGCAATAGATGGTGAGGGTTTCCTCTTTTCAAGAAAAGAATCAAAAGCTTTGCTAGAATCAGGTTTCTGGAGGAGGACTGTTTTGGTTGCCTTCAAAATTTCTTCAACAGATCGTCCAGTACCAATATAATCAGAAACAACCTCCCACCTCCGAGAGGTTCCTTTTGGAAATTTTACCACTCCTTTTCTCAAAAGCTCAATTTCTTCTTTGCTCCAAGGTTTCTCTTCCTTCTTCTCATAGCTGCCTAACTGAACGGTACCTTTAGTCTCCACGGAACCATTCTGTTGTTGAATTTTCTTCTCTTCTTCTTTCTTATCCACCAAATCGTTTTTATATCCACATGCATCTCTAAGAACCTCTGCTCTCTCCACCCCCTCTTTGCCCTCCATCTTCTCACAGATACTCCTAAGCTGCTCGGTACCAAGAGATGAACAGAGACTTTCCACATCATCCTCAGAAAGATTAAGCAAACGCTTCGAAGTAACAGGCCCTGAAACTGTTCGAAGGCGAGCCTTTTCTTTGCGCAGGAGTTTCTTCTCTTTCTCTTTCAGCTTCTTCTGCTGTAAAGCTGTTTCTGCAGCTCGTTTGGCCTCCTCTTCTTTCCGTTTACTCTCCTCTTCTGCAGCCCTGGCTGCTTCCTCCTCCTGTAACTTCTTGGCCAGATATTTGGCCTCTCTTTTCCTCTGCTTCTCAGCTTTCTCTGCTTCCTTTCTCCTCTGTATTCTTGGGTCTCTTTTATATGCATTGTCAACAAGAGTACGAATTCGTGCATACTCCTCCTTCCTAGCCTTTTCTGAAAGTTTTGAATTCTGCCTCTCCATCCATCTCTTATGATCACGAGACTCCGCTTGCTCAAGATCAAACTCATCAGCATGTGGAAACTCTCTCCAACTCTTAAAGGTGTACCAGAAGTCATAGAAATCATCTACTTCCTTCAGTGGAGTACTCTCATCACCTAAAAATGGGATTGGTTGGCTAACCGACCACCGCCCATTCCTCATAAAAGCAGGACTGAAAACTCTGAAGAAGTCCTGTGGGGCACATTCAGTGGGTATCTCATCATCAAACTCATCAGTGGAGTCATAGATTCTTCTCTTCACAGGATCAATTAACACCTCGTACGCTTCTTGGATGGACTTGAAGTGGCTCTCTATCTCGTCCTTCTTTGTTTGTTTTGCAGCTTCCGTAACCTCATTGAGAAGAAGAGCAGCCTGTTTGTCAGGATGATATTTCAGGGCAGTCTCACGATAGCTTTTTCTTATTTGCTCCTCAGTGGCAAGGTATCTTAAATGGCTCAAACCTAAGAGTGCATAGTGATCTTGTTCTTTGCCTTCGCCACCAGATTTCTTCTTACCTTTGCTGCTGTACGAATCAAATGATGGTATAGAAGTCTGTTCCTTGTTATTAACCACCTTCTCATCTTCAACTTCTTTATTTTCCTCCACACAACCACGAAGCTTCAGAGCCACAGCATGGAAAGAATGTCCGGCTGGTTCACGGTTCAAAGCCTTGACAGGAAGGCAGTTTGAAGAAGCATACAGTGGTTGACCATCTACCAATTCTTGGGAGTACGAAATAAGGCAAAACTTGCTTTGGACAGGCATGATGATTATATTATAACAAACCCACAGTACCAATAACCAGATAAATCGGCAAATTTAGTACCCAAGAAAAAGCTCCACTGCACTTCAAAACCCTCTTAATATGAATGCACACAATCCCCACACTGCACTATCAAACAAAGCAAAAATCAACCCGACTATCTCCGATACCGAAAGATGCAAAATAACTAGGATACACAAACAACTTCACATGTACGGAGCAATCAACACATAATTAAAAGTTTTAAACACAAACACACCTGCATTATAAAAAATAAAAAATAAAAAAAAAATCAACAAAACTACCTCTAATCACATAAACCTCAATATTTAAAAAATAAAAAATAAAATTCAATGCAAAGAAACAAAATTTAATCACATAAACCTCAAAATTTGTTTCATAATTAAAATAATTCCCAATTAACAACATAAAACTATTCATTTGGTATAACATGCACTCATTTATTACTGTATCAACCAAAACTAAATTAAAAAGTAATAAATAAAAACCAGAAACATTTCCATTTCATATTCGATGCAGCAAAAGATTGCTGCTTTAAACGAGCAATACAAAAAAAAAAAAAAAAAAAAACGATTCAGCAAAAAAATAAATTAAACGGCGGCTGTGGAGAAAAATCTCAAACCTCGATGAGAGCAGATGAAGGCGACGAGGGTTTAACAGAGGGTTTGACAGATGAGGTGACGGAGGAGGTCGTTGAGTGTTTTGAGCGATGATCGAAGGTCTGCCGAATTTATAGTTGGAGACGCAGTCGCTCGGCTCGTTGTGGGTTTTGGTGGTTTCACCTATATAAAGGTTCCACTCCAAAATGCCCTAATCAATTGCAATTGGGGGACGATGGCTCGCGATCTGCAACGACCACGTGTCACGTGACTTTGGTTCATATATTACCTTATAATACTGGGCCACCGCTCGTTTTATTGGCCCAAATATTTGTTGTGTTTGGGCTTTAAATAGGAAAACCAACGACAAGTCGTAACATCAATTTGGTAATTGAAGATTGAAAAATCAAGAGGTATTTGTCGATTTTCTTCCACGAACTTGTAAGAAGCTACCAATTCCTTTCATGAACGTTATTTTTAGTCAATTATCCCTTTGAATTTTCATAAGTGGTCAATTTCTCTCTCGGCATTTAGATTTTAAATTTTTTTCATCGAAACTTCATTCATCTTGGCCGTGTGCACGACACAAGGCAATTTTTTGAGGTAAAAAAATGTAAGTATATTCCTATTTGGGACTGAAATAAAGGCTTAGGCCGAGAAAGAATAACATGAATCGAAATGCCATGATTCTTGACCTAGTAATCGTTGCTCATGCTAGTTGGCTCCCAGCTCAAAAGCGTGCTAATTTGATTGAGTCCCTATAGGAGTAAGACTATTAAAGGATTAGGCTCATGCATGGTTTGGTCGAGTTCTAAATGAATTAAAATTGTTGAAGATCAGGGTGGATTCTGACAAGATTCAAATTATTCTAAGGATCATAACTTATTTTTGGTCAGATGAGGATGAATCAAGTGCATAAAGGGATTAGGTTCAGAATAACTCAAAGAGGTGGAGATTGGATAGATATTAAGTTTCGGCTAAAGAAGGGATTATGGGGACAAAGAGAGAATATCCAGGTAAATGCCGAGTAAGCATAGTCCTATCAAGTCTCTACCTCGGCAGAGGTTTTGCAACGTGAAAAGCCCTTACAAGCTTCAACTTAACAAACAACTCAAAAATGCTCTATGCAAAACCTTTCTCACAACCCTGTTTATCTTAATAGTCTCATCAACACATTTTTAGTTGGATAAGTAAATAGTTGACAACACGTGACATCTTCATTTTAGATAAGTAAACAACACTAGAACCGTAAAATTAGGCGATTTATAAGCATCTTTAGTTTAGACAAGTAAACAGTACTGCTTTTGATTAGTTGATTATCTATGCAAGTCTCGGTCGGCAAAGAATTCTCAATTATTTAGTCCAAAGAGGTAACTTCATTAGCTTCTCAGCGAAGTCGAGTATTATATGATCTGTTACTCTTAGGTGCACTTCATACTTCGGCATTCAAATGGCCGAATCACATTCACCATAAAGACATTTCTTTTAAGTATCTTTACCTGTAAAGTTTGATACTGATTCGACGCACTTATATTTTTACCAATATAGTTGAAGTAGCAAAACTTAGTGCAGAAGATCTTTGAACTTCGCAGTGAATTAAGCAACCTTGTCTTCAGGTTCTAGAACCCTAGGCTGAGAGGCGTCCCTTCCTCAACCATAGTCGCTCAAGTGCATAAGTTAGTAGTGCATTTGACACCACCACAACATCTATTCTACTCGCCTGACCGAGCTTGGTCATGAGTTGGCACGCTCACATTCATAAGAATGACGTAATTAGCTCAATAGTTACTCGATCTACGCCCCACGTAGGCTTTGCAACTTTTAGGATTGACAATTCCTAATGTAGACAACAAATTTTTTTCTTCTTCTTCTTTCCTCTAGTTCACTTTGACACTATTGTATACTTTTTGTTTCAATTTTATCCTTAATTTGGACAACAATGAATCTTCTTCATGGTCTTGGTTTTTCAACCATGTTGGAGTTGTGATGCTATTTCATTATTCTTCCTTATGACTTGATTCACGTGATCGTCTCGATTAACTTATCTCAATCCAAGACCCAAATACCAATAATTAATATGCTGTTATATATTATCGGATGGAATTGACCTGTATCCATATCCAAACTCATTTGTAATCGGATAATCAGATTGAAAACCACAATCCATATTATATTAATTACGTCTAGTTGAATTGAATTCGGGGTTGAAATTCGATCTATCTACATGTCTACTGTCTACATGAAACAATCTAAGTCTAAAATCATAAGGAGATAACTACTTAATACTATGATTTAGTGCTGATCTATTGTGAGACTTAATCTACTCTCCCAATCATTTAACGTAGATACTATCGTTTGACTAAAAAAAAAAGGCATTTTATATTAGCACCCCACAAAATGTTGAATGTACCCCACATTAAAATTTAATATTAATAACTTATTTACCCTACTATGCAATTACAATTTTGACCTTATTAGGTTTAAAAAAAAATAAAAAAGTTCTATATTCATACCAAATCACTTTTAACGTATTATTTATCTACTTCAACTATCAAAACCTCTCCCATCCTCCATTGTTGAATAAAACCCTAAGCAATGAAACTACAAACACGTTGATTGAGAAAAATTATTTTTGATCGGAACATGAAATCGGTGTTTCAAAAGCTTTACATGAGGTAAGACTTCATATTTTTCTTTGTTTTAGTGATTTTGACGACATCGATAATTATTTAATCTCACTCAATCTAATAATTCAAGAATTAGCATTTATGAATCTCATAATTCAAAAACCATGGCATGCGAACTGATTGCAGATTGAGTCAATGACATTCATAAGGTGCTTTCTTGCACTATTCTAAGATGCTTTCTTGCAGGTCGACTTGGTTCGACCAAAATATGCACAAGAAAATGGAAACAACATGGTAGCTTTGAAATCATTATTATTGTTATTGAAAAACGTTCAAATGAACCTAAATTTTTTTTTCAAATCATTCAATTTGAAATCACTCGGAAAACTAACGTTAGATGGTTTGAAATCATTCGGCAAAACTAAAAATGAGTGTTACAAGATTTGAGAAATGTGAGGGTGTATGTAGAAAATGTAAGGTGTATATTAAGAATGTGGGGTGTGAAGGTATTATGGGGAAGGAAGTGGGGTGTATTAAGATAATTTTTAATTGAAAAAGTAAATGTGAGGTGTATTAAGTATGTGGATTTTATTCATCAACTTGTGGGTGCTAATATAATTAGCTAAAAAAAAAATCACGTAGAGGAAAGCAACGACAAGTCGTAAGCCTATTATACAGGTAGCGGCTGAGTTCAAGCTGGAGATAAGCGAAACCATGGCGTCTCTGCCTCCGTTTATACGGCGCCGTTTCCTCAGCACCACCACCACCACCACCACCACCAATGTCTCGAAGAAATGGGCCGTGAAGGAAGTGACGAAGTCCAATTTTTCCGAGTCCCTGGAGGAGTTCAAGGACCACCTGTCCAGCTCCGACTTCGTGGCCGTCTCGCTGCAGAAAACGGGGTCATATCGTGCGCCGTGGCACCGCCCTCGGCCCTTCGACACCGCCGACACGTCGTATTGCAAGGCCAAGTACGCCGCTGAGCGCTTCCAGCTCCTCCAGTTCGCCGCCTGCCCATTCACTCTCAGAGCCTCCAAGCTTACTCCTTACCCGTCCGTACACTTTCACTATACCTATACATACACATATATAGAATGGAATTTGATGATGTGGGTTTGTTGATTTTGGTGCAGATACAACTTTGTCTTGTTCCCAAGGGATGAATTGAAGATGGGGATGCCAACTTATAGCTTTTCAGTTCAACCATCACATTTGACTTCCATGGCGGAAGAAGGTTTTGATTTCAATGCCTGCATATATAATGGTAAGCCTCCCCAGTCAAGTTTTGATATTTCATTTTACTCCCTAATTTCTTGTGGAATATGATTTTACCCAAGTGAATATTTTTACGAAAACTAGGAACAGAAATTACGAAAACTAAGAACTTTGGCTCGATGCATTGGTGAAAGTGTACCATTTGGGATATTGCAAGTCTGTAACTTTGCTGTTGTATTGAGATTTTGTGTTTTTGTAATGAGACAGGTATTTCATACTTGTCTAGAGCACAAGAATCTGCGGCTAAAGCTCGGATGGGGAATCCGACTACCAGCAGCTATGTAATGAGCTCTTCTTCGACCCATACTGTTGCTGATACGGTTTTTGTTGAAAGAATTAAATCGCGAGTTAAGCATTGGAAAAGTGCATGTAAAAACACAAAGAAAGATAGTAAGGACAGAAAAAGGGTTCTAGATTCTACTTTCATCCCCTATTTTTCGTTCGATTTTGTTATAATTTCTGTTAAAAAGTGTTTTGGCTTTCCATTTTGCAGATGCTCTGCTGAGTTCCTTGAGAAAAATTGTAATGGGAAGTGAAATTTACGGAACAAGACCCTGCATGAATCTAGATGTTTGCAGTGAACGTCAAGTGCAGCTTGCTCTGGAGGTATGTATGTTGACCCGTTGTTGTTTTTAATCCTTTTTTCTGGTGCCGGTATATTTAATCAGATTTTATCTGATCAAATGATTTTTTTTTTCATTGGTTGCAGATGTTGAAAGAGTTCTCTGATGAACTTGTTCCTTTAATAATCCCAGCAAAGGGCGGAGGAACTCAGGCTGTTCGTGTTGTTTTGACAAGTTCTACAGCGGACAAGGACTTGTTTGAGGTAGTGACGTGATTTTCAGGTCTTTCTTTTTCGCATTATCAGGCTTTTTGTATCGCAACATTTGGCTTGAATGTTTTACTTACAGAGAGAGCTCCAAAACCTTGAGGAGGAACAAAACAAGAGAGTTCGTGGATTTCGAGAGGTGATCGATTTGATTTCTGCTTCACAGAAACCTGTTGTCTCCCACAATTCCCTTAACGGTGTATCTCTGTTTAATAAATATCTATGAGTTTTAATGCCCTTGACTTGGCTTCTGTTCTTTTTCTAGTTTCTCAACTTACTGTTTAATTTTGCTTTATGCAGATTTCACAGTTATTCATTCACAGTTTCTCTCGCCCCTCCCGACTAATGTAGACAAGTTTATGGGTTCCTTGCACTCGGTTTTTCCCCACATACTTGATGTCAACCATCTGATGAAGAATATTGGCCCTCTAAGAAAGATGACCAATATTCCTGCAGCTATTTCGTACTTGAA